CCTCACACACTGTGTGTTATCATCTGCAACTGTGTACGCCTTGCTTGGTCCAGGAGTTTACACCTCTGACTTCCCTCAGATATGTTGCCATTCTCTGCTGTGTGCCGCAACTATACCAATTCCCTCCTGCATTCTTTAGAGAAGAAAATCCTGAGCAATTGGCCCAAGCAGTGGCTATATCGGGCCCTTAATACATATGTCTGTCAATACATCAAAATGGTGCAGTGAGCAAGTACTTAGTCTGAAGGGGAGTAATCAGTGGTCTTAGATTTGTTAGGTATGGACCTGAGGGGTATAGACTTCAGAGTGCAGATTTCACCCCAGTTTAAGTAAAGATTTCTTTAATAGTGTTTGTTTTTTTAAAAAAGATTTTATTTATTTATTTGAGAGGGGGGATAGGAGCATGAGTAGGGAGGAAGGGCAGAGGAAGAAGGGGAAGCAAGATCCCTGCAGAGCAAGGAGACCAATGTGGGCTCCTGTCACAGGACCCCAGAATCATGACCTGAGCCAAAGGCAGATGCTTAAGTGACTGAGCCAGCCACCCAGGTGCCCTTTAATGGTGTTTTTAATTCTTTGTTCTGCTACTTCCATGAAGCAAACCCCATTTTTTATAGATTGACAACACCCAAATTAACCTTTTAAAGTTAAGCCTATTGTCCCAGTATAAATATTCTCACCATGGCCAATGTCAAGCTATCAATGTGATGTGCGCAGTTAGCTCTCATGAGCTGGTAAGAGCTGGCCGCCTACTGGGGCTCATGTCTACCCTTCACCTTTACTTTCTCTGTAGGGGAAGAGACCCTCAACAATAGCATGGCTGGAGTGCCCACGGAGTGCTTAGGATGGACCAGGCACCATTCAAAGAGCTTTTACATTTTAGAAGTTTAATTCTCACAGCAACTCTGTGTGGTAGGTAGAAATGAAGAAATAGGCATGGGTGAAATCACTACTCCCAGGTCATACAGCTGACATATAGGAGAGTTGAGATAGGAACTTCACTGGTCTCAATGTCCATAATCTTAAAAGGACACTGTTTTCCAAAACTTCATTGTCTGATACAGCAACCAGAAGCCATGTTGGCTATTTAAACTGAAATTAATTGAAATTACATAAAATTTAAAATTCAGTTCCTCCCTCCTACTAGACACATTTCAAGAGCTTGAATAGTCACATGTTGCTAGTGGATACTGTAGTAGACAATACAGATACAATATAGTTTCATCATCACAGAAAGTTCTATTAGATAGCACTGCTCTAAATCGACTATGATCACACATATTTGCTTAGATATACAGATGATTTAATGGCCTTTGTTGACTGTAGTAACATAAAAACTCAAAATATGCAGTTTTATGTCTCTTCTGCTCTGAGATAAGCAAATCCATTCACTTATTCATTCATTCAACACACATTAGCTGAGTGCCTACTATGTTCCAGGACCCACGCTAGGTTCTGGGGATAGAAAGATAAATAAAGGGATATGGCGCCTGCCCTCCAGAAGCTCAAAATCTGATGGAGGAGGCAGACAAGTAAAAAGGCAATTATAATGCCATGAGGAGAGTACTCTGGCAGGGAGTTCAAGGATGATGTGAGGGACTCAGACAGGCACCAGCAGAACCTAAGCATTCAGGGAAGGCTTCACAGAAGGGGTGATTTCCTGATTGGATGTTGAAAGATGAATAGGAATTGGCAGGTTTTAGATATTTTAGATAGAATGTCTCAAAATTTGAAAAGAAGCCCAGGAGAACATGGGTCACCCTCAGGGGCCCATAAGTGAGTGGGTCTGAGTGATGTCTAGGATGCGATGGAAGTGAGTGACTAGAGCAGAAGGCAGGTGTTCTCAGGTGGTATGCTGAAGGACAGATGTGGGGGAGGGGACAAGGGAAAGAGAAAGAATTTCATTTTGGATTTGCTGAGCATGATGTGCCTGGAGAACATTTGAGAGAGCATCAATTTGCAACTGATGAATTATTGAATTCTACATCTGAAACTCATGATGTACTACATGTTGGCTAATTGAATTTAAATTTAAAAAAATATCAGCTTCAAGGTGATTAAACAAAGGGCCTGGCTGGGCTCATGTAGGGAGCGTGTGCAGAGTAAGAGAAGGAACCAAGAATGACCAAGATGAACAAACCCAGCCCCAGGAAATGCCAACATATCAGGGGTAGGAAGAGAAATGGGGTCAGGGAGGAAGATGAAGAAACCACATCAGAGGATCATCCTAAGGAAGTGGTTTCCAGGAATCCAGGGCTGGGAGTGAGAACTGATTCAGAAAAGCCAAATAACATATGGACTAAAAGCTACCCACCAGAGTTGACCTTGTACAAGTCATTTTAGTGGAGTTTAGGAAGCCAGCCTGCAGCGGGTTCAGGAAGAAATGGAAAGTGAAGAAAAACAGATAGTAGCTACAAGAGACAAGTTCTTTAAAAAAAGAAAAACTTAGCTGTGAAGATTATGATCAAAGAGTCCTCAGCATGTTTGTGGATGGCACTGAGGAAGGCAGCGGGTGGAGGAATGTTAAGGATCCAGTTTGAAGAGGGCATCACAGGTGAAGCAAGGCCCCGAAGACATCAGAAGGGCAGGGGTCCAGAGCACAGGTGGTGGGTTAACTCATGCGAGGAAAAGGGACATTCCACTGGTGTGAGGAGGAGGAAAGAAGGTCAAGCACAGACAAGACATGAGTGAATATGGGAAAGGGACTGAGGGCATTGCATCTTCTGGCCTCTGTTCTTCTGTGAAGCAGGAGTGAGGTTCTGCTGAAAGCAGAGGACTGAAGGACGGGAGTCAAGGCCTGAAATAGCTAGTGTGCAAAAGGGAGAGACAGTCAACCAGGGGCACATGAAACACTTCCAGGCTGCGCCCAAAGGTGAGCTGAGGTTGGCAAGGAGTCTGTAGAAGTGCCTGTATTCAGAGAGGCACTGTTTTCCCTGGCTGTGCTCAGCATCTCCAGGAGCAGCAGAGGGAAAACAAGACAGCTGAATTAATCCAGGGTTGGGACTCTGCCAGGCAGGAAGGGAGAATAGGTAGGTAGGAAGGAGCACTGATGAACTGGCTTATTTGGAAGGAGGTCAAGACAGAAGGAGGGTGAAACACTAGAGTGTACATGATGTCATCGAGTAATCTGGGGTGGAAAAAAAAAAGACAGAGTGGTGAAAAGGTAGGAAGCAATGACCAGAAAGTTAGACATCTAATATGGAGAAATTATGGCCAGGAGAGGGTGTTAATGGAGAAACTGGAAAGACATCTGTCGTTGAGTAAATTAAGAATCTGTGAAGCAAGCAGATTAGATGATTTTTGTAACTGCACACTGAAGCCCCAAATTTGAGGCAGAGGGGATGGAAAACAAAACCATGCATATGGGAGGATGACCAGCAGGTAACAAAGAAGGGCAGAGCGTTGGAGGAGGTGTTTTGTTTTTTTTTAAGATTTTATTTATTTATTCATGAGAGACACACAGAGAGAGAGAGAGGCAGAGACACAGGCAGAGGGAGAAGCAGGATCCATGCAGGGAGCCTGATGTGGGACTCGATCCCAGGTCCCCAGGATCACGCCCTGGGCCAAAGGCGGCGTCAAAACGCTGAGCCACCTGGGCTGCCCTGGACGAGGTTTTACAGGACAGCAGAAGAGTGATCATTTGAATGTGCGGTTGGGTCCCTGGGAGAATGTTGGTGCCATCTCTAGTCCTGTTAGTAATGGAGGCTTGGAAGACTTGTCAATCTTCCTGTGAAAACTTCTGGAGAAGGGGGTATCCTTGAAGAAGAGCCAAATGCCAGGTATGAGCATTCTGCAAAGAGGTAGCACATTCATAGAGCTTTGGACCAGTTCTGGGCATATTTGCAGAGCCATTGGAGAGGTTAAGAGGGAGGCAGCAGGTAGTTCTGAGGATGAAGGGGGGATGGAGAAACTAACTCTTTAGGCAGAGGTGACAAATGGGGCTTGGAGGTAGTAGTTAGAGCTGTGGGGTCCAGGGTGGCCCCAGGTGGTATGGAAGTTTTTGGTGACACCCCCAAATGGAGAGCTTTGCTCAAGGATTCTCCTAAAACATTGGTGAAAAATTTAAGACCCCAGAAGATAACAGAACAACTAGACTGGCTGATCCTAAGACCTTCGCTTTTGGGTGGAAACCACAGAACCTCCCAGGACATAATTGCAAGTTGGTCACATCCCCAAGGAGATCCTAACCTAGGCATGCAGAGTCCAGATTAGACATTCCTCCTGGTGAAAAAAGCAGAAGCCCCAGGGCACGGGCAGTGAAAGAAATGAAGCAAGGGAAATTATAATTATTCCTTACTAACAACAGAAATTTACTGGGGGCCTATGATGATGTCTAAGATGATAAAGACCATCCAGGCACATGTAACCAAATAAAACCCCCAAAATCACCTCCTCTGAACTCATGATCATCAGGTATAGGTGTTTCCAAGTTTCACCCTCAGCTTCACCCCGCTAAGACTTCAATCCTGGTTGGCCAATGGCCAGGAAAATCTCGGTTACTATCCAAGTCATACCCACATCACAGGGAATCAGGGCTTGGCAATGGGGGGGTTGGGGAGCAGGAGACACTCCTGTGTGTTTTAGAAATAGTTTCAGAACACTTGGAATCCAGACCCTAAAATGAGGCCTCAAGTGGCTAAGGGCAAAGCCCTACCTCTTTGTGCATATTCATCTCATTCTCATATTTACTAAGGGGTTTTGATTCTCTGAGTAGAACCTAAATGGCCTGAACATGGCCCCTTCTTCATAACCCCACACTAACCTGAGGAAACTGGGTATCACCAATCCTAGTCACATAAGACCTGAGTATTCCAGACCATGAGTAAGACCAGCAGCCCCAGAGAGACCTGCACAGATAGGTGAGCAGCCACCTGAGATTTCAGGCACCTGCCACCCTCAGCTCAAACGTAATCTCTTCCATGACATCCTTCCCAATGCATCACACATACACACACATACACATGCGCCACATACCAGACACATGCCCTCCACTGAAGCCCCCATATAGTTTACCATTGCATTTATTAAGCTTGTTTTAATTGTTTACATTTTGCTTCCCCCGCTACATTTGAAGCTTCTTTATCCCTAGGGTGTTCCACCCAATAAATATTTGTAGGATAAGTTGGGCTAGGCTGGGCTGGGATAGAGTTCAATTAAGTTGAACTGAGTTTAAATGAATCAAAATGAACTGAGGAACACAGAACAGTACATTCCCACAGCCACAAGAGTGAACATTATCCTTTCTCATCAAGGGTCTTCCCCCAAACCCACCAACTCCAAAGTGTCTCCCCAATTCTCCAGCCATGGTGCCCACCCCACCATCAGACAGGTCCTCATTGCTTCTTATGGAACAGAGCTGGCGCTGGCTCATTGCTGGGCTCGGCCATGACCTGCATGGGCTGGTTGTTCAGGGCAGCCTCACGCATCTTGTGGTACATGAACTCATTCTGGCGGAACATGCGCAGCTCCATCTCCGTCTGCACCCGCATAGCCTGTGGAACACAGACACACCATAAACAGTGATGACAGGCCACTGGGACATACTGGCTTCTGATCTTCCTTGGCTCTTTTCAAAAGGGCAGACAATGGGGCGAATAACTCCTACTTACTGAGATTCAGCTGTATCCACTGAGAGGACACACGGACACACACACACACACACACATACTCATCCTCTAGGGGCCTCAATGTCCTGGGACTGGGCTTGGTTTGTTAAGGAGAGGGAGTCAGACCCCTGAGAGAGGAGCTCAAGGGACTGTTCTCAGCAAAGAATGTTTGTTTGCTGGAACTGGATTTGAATCCTGGATCATACACACATAGGTCCCAACTAACATTGTGGGACTTTAGGCCAGTGACAATCTCTTTAGTGCTCAGTTTCCTCAGACATAAATGGGTGAGATTCCTTAATACTTCATAACAGACCAGAAAGATCATAGTGTGTGACACCTAGGAAAATCCCCATGCACCCATATTTCTATTCAAGAAATATTTCTCAAGGGCCAGTCATCATTGATGAATTGAGAATACAGCAGTGAATGATATACTAGGCATAAAGTCAGTCTTCTCAGACACTTTATGACAACAAAGTCTGTCCTCTTTCCCTGTACCATACAGTCCTTTGAACCCTGTCACTCTCAAATAAACAAGCCCTTCAAAGCACAAAGGAAGCCAGCAATTATAAAGAGCATGCTACTTGCTAGGCACTGTTCTGAGTGCTTTTCACATATTAACTCTCTGAACCCTTACCACAGCTCTATCCCTTTTCTCCATTTTACTGATAAGGAGACTGAGGCCCACATATTCCGTGTTTGCACTCACACAGCTGGAAAGTAGTGAATCTGGAGAGTTCAATCCCAGCAGTCTGATTCCAGAGCCTGTGCTCCCCAGCTCCACTCTACAAAGCACATCTAATGTACATGGCTGCACCCACATTGCTAGGTAGGCTTTCTCCATCCATACTTGGAACATCTCAGACTTCAAACCTCAGCTGTGCCATCCATTCACTATGTGACTATAGACAGGTTACTCCCCTTCCCAGGGCCTTGGTTTGCTCAGATGTAAAACAAGGGGAGTGGACTAAAGCATTTCTGAATTCCTTTCTGGTCCAGTGGGCAATCTGTGGACTTTGCAAAAGCAGAAACTGGAATCCAGCTCCCACCCTTAGAGAGAGCTTAGACCAGAAAAGGAGGCCCAGCTCTGAGATGCTACTTGCCTCTAAGTCCTTGGTGATGGGGTGGGAGGGTCCATGGGTCACCAGGAGAATGGCATAGGCTTTACAGATCATCCCATGCCCCACCTCAATGTTACCAGCATGCCAGTTGGTCAGCCCTGCCCGCATCACGGCCATGCCCAGTTGGGCATTATTGGGGTGGTAGAGCTTCCTGTGAGGACATAGCAAATCATTGTAACAGATAATCCCAACTTTCCTTACATTTGCACAGCATCTGACGACTTACCAAGTACCCTTACTGACTTGGTCCATCTGCTCTCCCACCAGTGCTGTGAGGCATCTGCAGCCCATGGAGCAGAAACTGAGCCACAGAGAAAGGGAGGAATTACCAAACACTCCCCAGGGTGAGCCTGTGGGAGTGAGACTCTGCCCTAGGCCAGTAAGCCTAGTCATCATGGGCAAAAGAGTCAGAGGACTATGCAAGATAACAGGAAGCTGGGAGCTCTTAGGAACACCCCACCCCTCTTCCTGGAAAGCAGAAGTTCAGGGGAATAAAAAGAACTTCAATGTCCTTCTTGGGACAGAACTGTATTCTCATCTCCTTGGCACCTTCCTAACAGAGCTTCCTTCTGCATATTGTACAGTTTTCCTGACTTTTATATATGAGTAATGTTCTCTAAAAAAAAAAAAAAAAAAAAGAACCTGCTTGTACCAACTTACTCTTTTGGCCAAAGAGCCAAAGATACAAAGTCACATGCCAATATAGACATGGAAGGCGAGGGCTTTGCATTTTATAAGCAAGGATGCCTGACACTTCTTTTATTTATTTTTATTTTATTTTATTTTAATAAAGGAAAGGTTGCATGATTGCCTGTGCTAACTGTTAGGGGGACAAACCTTTCCAAGCCCTTGAAATCAAGGTGGACTTAGACTTAAGAAAACCCAAAGCATTGGGACACCTGAGTGGCTCAGCGGTTTGGCGCCTGCCTTCAGCCCAGGGTGTAATCCTGGGCTCAAGTCCCACATCAGGCTCCCTGCATGGACCCTGCTTGTGTCTCTGCCTCCCTCTCTCTCTGTCTCTCATGAATAAATAAATAAAATCTTAAAAAAAAAAAAAAAAAAGCAGAGACGCCTGGGTGGCTCAGCAGTTGGGTGGCTGCCTTCAGCTCAGGTGGTGATCCCAGAGTCCAGGATCAAGTCCCGCATCAGGCTCCTGCAGGGAGCCTGCTTCTCCCTCTGCCTATGTCTCTGCGTCTCTCTCTCTCTATGTCTCTCATGAATAAATTAATAAATCTGTAAAACAAGAAAAAGAAAACCAAAAGCAGAAAATGCCATTCAAGTGATAGATGAGCTGGAGGATTTGGGAAAGACCAGGAATGACAGATAGGCTTCATCTCAGGAACCAGCCCTGATGATTTGGTCATTACTGCTTGGAGCACTGTGGTTAAAAAGGCTCATTTGTAAAGATAAAGAGGACCACGACTGATTCCTGATGCCTGCTGTGGGTTACAGGAGGGAGAGATAGCAGTGTGTGTGCCATCTATTTACCATCCCTGGAATAGACACATTTCCAGGAGACTTCCTGAGACCCAGCATTGCTACCTACATATAGCCGTCCACCATCCTCCTGGCATAGTACGAGGCCTCCTCAAAGGCCTGGAGGTAGGAGAGGACCTCGGAAACAGTGCTCAGCATCCGCAGCGTGTAGAGGTTTGTGTCAGCAAACACTGGCTCCTGCTTCTGCAGGCACTCCCGGCATAATTTCACCACCTGGAGGAGACACAGGACCTGTCCATTACCACTGCACCACAACACGCCCTGTACTCACATAAGAGAGCATCATCACGACACTGGACACTCATTCTTTTAAAGCTGAGGACACTGCTGATAGGGGTGGAAAAGCAGTGGTTTGTGATCTGAAGAGCAAAATGGTCCTATTTGGCTACAGTGTAGGGATGAGGAGGGTAACGGTGTGAGATATGGGTGACATGCCAAAGCGAGGCGTTCTCATCATCAGTCAGTAAGTAGCAGAGAGTTATGAAAGGGAGAGACTGATTGATTGATTGATTCCCACAGCAATGCAATGACATAGGGACTACTAGTACTCCCATTTTGCCAGATAAGGGAACTGAAGCACAGAGAGGGTAAGTGCTTTGCCAAGTCACATAGGTAGTAAAACATGGAGTAAGAATTCAAGCTAAGCAGTCATATTTTATCTTAACCATCAGTCCTGTGATTCTCCACCTTAGCCAGGCTCTGGAATTATCTGGAGACCTTTTAAAAAAACAGCAATGTCTGGGCCCTACCCCAGACCAAATGAAACCAAATATCTGGATGAGGGACCCTGGAATCCATAGTTCAAATAAACCCCTGGATGGTCCTTATGCACGGTGAGGTTGACAATCATTTCCCAATGTAAGTGTACAAGATGAACTGGCAGAGAGGGAGGGTCCCAGGAGGATGTTGCATTGGTCCTGGTGAGGAATGAGATGGGCCTGACCCGTGTTAACTTGGAGTCAGGCTTCCCTGATTGACTCATGTTTACACATAGGCTTAGGTGAGTGAGACCAAAGTGAGATGGTCTCTAGATTTTAGTTGTTCTCTGTTCTCCTCTTCTTCCTTTGCCACTGCCATGGGAGAAATGCCACACAGTGCCTTCCGTTTCAAATGAGCAGAAGCTAATTTTGCTCTCAGACTCTCCCAGAGCCGCACGTGAAAAATGTGGGCTGGCAATCAATCCATCCTGAAGACAATCCTCTTAAACCCATGGGGCCAGTGTCCAACCTGACACCTGGACCTGTTACGTTTGAACGGAGGAGGAGAAATGAGAAAGAGGAGAGAAAACAGAGGAATGGAACCAGTGGAGCCCTCCAAATTGCTCCAGCTTCTATGCCATGCCTCTGACATGGGTTTTCCATGTTGTACAATAACACTCTATTGATGTGACTGTCTCTCCATCTGAGAGAACCCCTGGGAGGCAAGGAGCATGTCTTGTGTTGTCACCCCACTCGGGGTTTGAAAATGTGCAATGAATGAGTAAATGAGAAGGATGAAGATAATGGAAAAGCAGATAGAAATAAACATAAATTAATCTCTCACATTGCCCTGCCTTAATGGCTTCCAAACCCAGCTATAAGCCCGAGTTGTTTTTAAAGAGCTTGGAAACAAAATACTGATTCACAGTCTGTTGCAGATTGGATGAATCACATCTGAGGGGGTGAGATGCAAGACTGTGCATTTCCAACAAGCTACCCAGGTAAATTTGATGCAATGCTCTGCAGGTCAGTGTTTGGCAGTGGGTCTCAACTTTGGGTGCCCACTGAGATCACCTGAGAGTTTTAAAAATCCTAATCTCTGGGTTCACCCCCAAGAGATTTTGGTAAAGTTGTCCTAGGTCAGTGTCTGAGCATCAGGATTTTTCAGTGATTCTAATGTATAGGCAGTTGACAACTCCCATTGCTTTGAGAGCCAGGGTTGAATGCTCAGTTAGTAGGAACTGAAAACTGTTACCAGGGTATGCATTCAATTACAAAAAAGAAACCAATCCACATGCCATCTCCATTTCTCCACCTCTGATGCCAACCTGAGATATCACAGATCCCCCAGGGACCCCTGTCAGTCTGCCTGGGCTCTCCTCAGACACAGTATCAGTAGGTTGAACAATCACTTGAGAACACATCTATCTAAGAGGTGCTAAAGGTTTAAGGGCAAGAGGAGTCCAAACCAAGGGATATCCTAAGAAGAACAACCTGCTTGATAGCCTCCCCATCTCCACCCTACCCCATTTCCCCCCCTTACCAGAGAACCTTTCTGCCCTCTTCCCCATCTCATCCCTATGAAAATGAATTCTTACCTCATGGTACAGACCCTCAGAACGAGCCTTGTCTATTTTTTCCAATGTATCCTTGGAGAATTGTATCATCTCCTTTACCACCTCCTGAGAGGGCTGGGAAAGACAGGGACAGTGATTTAGAGACCTCTTCACAAAGCAACCCATTGCATCTCTGAATAGCTGACATTTTTGACACTCAGTGTCGTGCAAGAGTGATGCCTTCCTCATTCTGAATGTTTCATTTCTGTACATGTTGCTCCAGATCCCTATAGCTTTTGCAGCTCCCTCACCATGCTTCTGACTCATGTGCATTTTCCACTGACCAAGCTCTGGAGCCTTGCTGCCAGCCAGTTGTTTTCTACCTTATGCTTATGTATGGGTTTTTGGACCCCAAGGCAGAATCTAACATTGATCTCTGTGGTATTTTCTCTGACATTTTGTATTTTCATTCTATCACTCAAAATATTTTCCATTATTTCTCTTTACTTCAAGTTAACCACATGTTCCACAGGCACGCTCTTGCATTTTAGTCTTCACTCAATTCACTGATTTAAATACTGACCAACACAGGGCTGAGGACAGAAGCCTATGGCTTGACCAAAAAAAAAAAAAAAAAATCCTACTCTAGTTTGCCATTGGAGTTCATTAAAGAGGAAACCTATGGCTGTGGACATTCAGATCCTTCCAAAGTATCTTAGCATCCAGTTCCTATTTCTTTCTCTTGACCAAATTATATCATGAGTTTGTCAGCTGTCTCTGAAATCTGGATTTGTTAGGCTTACAGCATTTGCCAGGGCAGTCTAGTTATCTTATTTTTTTTTAAGACTTATTTATTTATTTGGGGAAGAGAGGGGCAAAGAGAGAGAGATAGAGATAGATAGATAGAGAGAGTTTTAAGCAGACTCTGCACTGAGCAAGAAGCCCGACGCAGGCTCCTTGAACTGACCCTGAAATCCTGACCTGAGCCAAAACCAAGAGTCAGATGTCTAAGGTGTCCCAATAGTGATCTTATTTTTTTAATGAGGTGTTAATATTTCAGGGAAAGAGGTACCTTAATTAAAAATCCCATGAGGACATTATAATTTTGAAGAAAGAGTTCCAGACTTCTCAATGTCCAAAGAAAAATTTATTTGTTATGCTCATCTATATCAGAAATTCTTCTGGAATATTTCTTTTTTTTTTTGCTTAGGCGAATCTGATAATAACTGGTTATTAGACAAAGGTTAGGTCCGGAGTGAGGCCTGTGAACAGGAGTCACAGCAGTGGTGGATGCATCAATTGTTGGAGTCAGGCCATGTGACAAGTGTAGGTGGATATGCAGAAGGACTCAGGGAGACTAAATGCAGAGAGAGATAGAGATAGATAGATAGAGAGAGTTTTAAGCAGACTCCCAAATTAAAATAACTTTATTTTTTTCCCAAAATGAAAATAACTTTATTATTTATTTGGACCATAAAACTGACATATGGAAGCTGTAAAAAATTAAAATATATGAAAAAAGCATGGAGAAAAAAATAGAAATCCCTGGAATCCACCCAAAGATGAACACAGCATTTTGAGGAACATTTTCCAATGCATATATACAGAAATAATATTGAAAATATTTAACAACTGATATAGGAAAGACACTGGCCAATCAGAACAGATACCATAAAGAGCATGTCTGTTATGGCCTATGGTATGTGCTGGCTGAACTGCATTCCTGTGGATGTGCACATGCATGTGTGTATAAGCCAATAGCACCAAATATTTCTTCTAACTGGAATAGTACCAGATTTCTGCCTTGAGTTTGTTTTTTTCACTCAGTAAATATATATATTTTCCCATATCAATATAAAAATATATCACCACTTCCAATAATTGTAGAGTTTTCCACTGTATAAAGGCCAGAATAATTTATTTAACCAGTTTTCCAACTTTTTCACTATAAGGAGTTGAGTTCAGTGGCTCCATTTGATTTGCCACTGGGAAAAAAAAAAAGATTTGCCACTGACACTGTTTTGTGAGGTCACCTTCACTGAACTACCGACAAGTAACAGGAGGATGGGTATCCATTCTCTTAAAAATACACTACTTTAGTGGATGGATCAGGCTCTTCCCTCAGTCTCTCAGCTGTCCTGAGCCAGTTCTGCAGTGTCCACTTTGCAGTATGAGAGGCTCCTGGCCAGGATGGCTTGCTTCTGGGTCAGGATCTTCCAAAGAACAAGCCTTATATTTATTCTTCTACCCACCTCACTTACTTCAGCTTCTGCGGAGTTCTTGACTAGCCCTACAATTTTGACTATCCTTGTTTCCTTCTGCATTTAGTCTCCCTGAGTCCTTCTGCATATCCACCTACACTTGTCACATGGCCTGACTCCAACAATTGATGCATCCACCACTGCTGTGACTCCTGTTCACAGGCCTCACTCCGGACCTAACCTTTGTCTTGACCACTGGTTATCATTTGGCCCCAGAGTACTACTTAGTCTTCTGTTAACTCAGACCTTGTCTTGATTTCAGACAAGTCATTTAAGTGCATATTCACTTTCCTAAACTCATTTGAATCAAGAGCCTAAGTGAGAGAGGGTCCATGTCTCACCTGGTCATAACTGGTAAGACAGAGCTCTGTAATTGGTAATCCAGAGGTATACCACCAATCTGTCAATCCTAGATTTCTGGTGTCATCCATAGTTTGTTGCCCCAAAATTGGCTCATAAAATCACATCTAGCTTATGACCACTAGTCTCTAATTTACTGTAAGTTCCAATATCTTTAAAACTCAAAATTCATAGTGAATCTTCTAGAGTAATCAGTAGCTTGCTGGATAGAGTTGGAGAATACCAAGTGATCAGATGTTAATAAAATGTCTAGTTCAGTTTGATATTGTAAGGAAGAGGTGTTACTTCAAGCTTTGGAAGTGAATCAAATTTTTTCAAGGAGGCAACTGCCAAGATTCTCAAAACAACCTGGCTAGAAGGTTGTTAATTACGTGTGCAATATGTGATAAAGCTATTCTGAGAAAGGAAATGGGGCTGCTCCATTTGGCTCCACTTTTAAGAGTAAAGGTAGGAGGAAAACATGATCTGCAGATAGGATTTAAGGAACCCTGAAGAGAGAGACTCCCCTCCCTAGAGGGGAAAACAGAACACCAGGAAGTTAAACAGAAAACCAGGAAGAAAAGAGTGAGGAGCTGGAGCAGGGGGAAATGCCAGTAGAGGAGGAACCAGAGGAAGACTAGAGGAGGAAAGGGAGGAGTCAAAAGAGGGGGAGGAGTCATCCAAAAGGGAGGAGCCACTGGAGGGGGAGGGACTAGAAGAGGAAGAGAAGAGTGAAAGAGGGAGCTGGTTGCCCAACCTTGAAACACTAGTAGCTTCCTATTGTGAAAACCAGGGGTAAGGGCCGGAGAAAGCAAAAAAAAAAAAAAAAAAAAAAAAAAAATTCAGCAATCTAAACAAGGAGGCTCCAAAGCTATGGTTGAGAGGAATGTTCTACATTTTGGTGTTATTTTCTCATTTTAAAAAATATTTGGTTTTGATTTTTATCCAGGTTACAATATACATTTAACTTTGAAAGGGAGAAAAGAGTCTGGTCTCTTAATTAAAAATAAAGTAGTGGTGGGAACAAGATATGAAACAAATACTCAGGGCCACACATCAGGAAGGTGGACTGGCAGGCTTGCCATAAAACACGTTATCCCACAGGTTCTAGAAGGTCAGGCTGAGGGTGAACACAGGAGCTTATTCTTTCCTGTCACTCCTATGGTACTGTGCTTGGTGCCCTGCCCAGACATGCCAATATACCTGGAATACCAAACCTTTGATTCTGTGAAAAGAAGGTTGTTCCTACAAAAAAAAAACCATATTAGGTGCACCTGGTGGCTCACTTGATTAGGCATGTGCTTTTGGCTCAGGTTATGATCCCAGGGTTCTGGGATGGAGCTCTGCATTGGGCTCCCTGCATATTGGGGAGTCTGCTTCTTTCTCTCCCTTGCCCTTCCCATGCCTCCACCTCCCCACCCCAGCTAGTGCTCTCTGTCTCAAATAAATAAATAAAATTCTTCAAAAAAAAAAAAAAAGCCCATATTAACCCATGGTTCCCAACTGCCTGGGAAGGGTGACTCTCAAAATGTCCACACCAAGCATCACTGATCTGTTGCTTACAGCCTTCCCCTCCTCCTCCTGTTTGTATCAAGCCTGACTATGCCTACACAGGCATGTGTGTGCATGGATCTGTGTGTGTGTGTGCGTGTATGTGTGTGTGTGTGTGTGTGTGTGAGAGAGAGAGAGAGAGAGAGAGAGAGAGAGAGAGAGAGAGTGTCCTTTTATTTTTTATAAATGATAGCATACTCAGTGTTATGGGTTGAACTGCACCCTCCCCAAATTCATATGTTGAAGTCCTAACCTCTAGTACCTCAGAATGCAGTCTTATTTGGAAATAGGTCATTGCAGACTTAATCAGTTAAGATAAGGTCATAATGGAGTAGAGTGGGCCCTTAACCCATTACGACTGGTGTCCTTATAAAAAGAATACCAAGTGAAGAAAAAGGGATACACAGAGGGAAGACATGAAAAGGCACAGAGAGAAGATGGCCATCTGAGAGCCAGGGAGAAAGGCTGGAGCAGACCACCCCCCCTTAGCCCCCCGAGGGAACTGACCATGCTGACACCTTGATTTCAGACTCCCAGGCTCCAGAACTATGAGAGTATACTCACACTCCTCAGAGGAAATCAACTCTGCTGACACCTTGATTCCAGACTCTCAGGCTGCAGAACTGTGAGAGAATACATTTCTTTTGTGTAAGCCACCCACTTTGGGGTACTGGGTTATGAAAGCCCTAGTCAACTAATGCACATGGCAATTTTGGCTTCTTAATTCTTTTCCCTCAAGAAGAGAGTTCATTCCATATGTGTACACAAAAATCTGCCTCATAAGTTTTAGTGATTGCAAGGTAATTTAATTTAAATATTTCCCTATTGGTGGTTATTTAGGTTTTATCCAATTGTTCTCGACCATGCTGCAATGTATTTCTTTATACACCTGTCTTTGTGCACATATGGAAGTAACTCTGCTAGGTAAATTCTTAGAAGTAGAACTTCTTGGGCAAAGAGTTTAAAAAATGATATATTAAGAATAAAAATAAGTTAGTGGCAGGGTATCTGGGTGGCTCAGTCAGTTAAGCATCTGCCTTGGGCTCAAGTCATGATCCCAGAAGCCCCATGTCTGGCTCCCTGCTCAGTGGGGAGTCTGCTTCTCCCTCTCTTTCTGCCACTCCCACCCCTACTTGTGCTATATCTTTTTCTTCCTCAAATAAATAAATAAAATCTTAAAAGAAATAAGTTAGTGGCAAAAAAAAAAAGGTCTAGACTGGCCAGAGGATGAACAAAAGAAATGAACCAAGTAGGGAAATAGTATTACCTGAACATTAGCACTAATACCACTAAGTAATGAATTGACAGTAGTCCCACCATCTGTACCTACAAGTCAGTTTTGCTTGTAGTCTTTCTTTGCACTAATCAGAGACAAATTTCTGCCCACACATAGGATGCAGAAGTTAATTAAGAAGTATATTTGTGTATTTGTATCTTAAATGCACTGGTGCACTGCAGGTTATAGAGAAGTGCTTGGATAGCCTCCCCAGAGGAGTCCAGCTCCCAGTTAAAAACCTACATGTACAGACCTGACCACAGACAAATACAAAGGCTCTACCTAGCAGGCCTGTGGGGGAAAGCGCCCTCCCAACAGTCTCTGAAGAGAGTCCAGTCAAGGACCCAGGTGCTCCCTGCCACTCATATTTCTTTGCACAGTTGCATTCTTAGCCAGGGGGTCTTTATTCCTTGGTTTCTTTATTCGAGGCCTTGGTCACCTCAGATAAAGGTCTGAAGTGACCTCCAGAGGCCTCTTTACAAGGGAGGAGGAGGAAAACTTGGAAACTCTAACTCAGTACTCACTACTTTTCCATGCCTAGCTTTCCCCTCACACCCTCTCCCTCATCCTCCCCACCTTGGGGTCCATGAAAGTGCTGGAACTCTTTGTTCTGAGCCCTTCAGCAGTGAGAAGACCACCACATCTGTGCTGATCCACCTGGGGGAAAGTGGAACAGAAGGAATCCAGGTCTAGCCTTTTGTTTATACCATTGCTGGGCTCTCTCTCAGCTTAGCTGAGCTCCTGACATCCCCCTCTGTAACCCTTCAGCCGCTCAACAGTTTCACCATCAAAGAGTCAACAAGCTACTTAGGAGTGAAGCATACTGACCAATCTCCACATTGCCCCATCTCTACATTACTCATTTCCAGGGGACTAGGAATACATTTGTGATAGCCAGGCAACCAATCCTTTGCCTATCTGGTCTCAATATAAGAAATTCTCAGCATTAGCAGCAAAAGGGCCAGGAGAGGAATTAAAATTTACTCAGTGCCTACCCTCTATGCCTCTCCCTTTACATATATCATTTTGTTCAATCCTCCTAACAACCCCTTCTTGTGGACACCATCATTCCTATTTTACAGATGAGAAAACTGGGCAACTTTCCAAAGAAAACTCCTGGCAAGTGGTAGCCCCAGGACACTAGCTGGGGACCTGTCATCAATGCTCTGTCCCCCATCCCATAGCAACTTTCCAACAGGTACAGGCTGGTTCTCTGGGAACTGACAGCCAGGGTGCACTGATTAGCTCTGAAATCCACCCTTGCCGGCTCCTGGAGAAGATGAGCGCAAACAGCCCAGAAGCAGGGCTACGTGTACCTTTGGGTCATCTTTCACCCCCAGGAATAGGTCATCCTTCAGCTTTTTCTGGCAGTGTTCACACGTGCAGTCAAAGTAGTACTGCTTCTTTAGCTGCTTCTTGCGGTCTTCGCTGAGGTTAAGGAAGTCGATATAGGACACTGTCAGCTCCTCTCCTTCTGAGATCTTGCCCAGGGCCCGAAGCTCAATTCTAGAGAGGGTAAAAGAAAGAGTAAGTCAGATCCAGGGCTATCAGAGTGGGGTTTCTGCTCTTCAAGGTGTCAAGGAGTTGCGTCTCAAACTTCCACCAGCACTCCAAGAAAATTCCCATTCCCCCCAAAAAGGGGAAAGGTGGTCTAAAGGATAGTTGTCTGGATAATCCTGCTCTACTCATTGTAAACAAATCTTCTCCATTCAGTTAATTGCTCTGAAATCCAATTCAGCAGATTCCCCGGAGAGGGCTGGGCCTGGTCACAAAGCTATACCTAGCTTCCATGCCTGCAATTACCCCTGTACATTTAGCTACTGATTGCCTGCAACAAAGGAAGGGAGAAACAATAAAGCAAAGATTCAAACAAGAGAAGACTCGATAGCAGTTTTGCTTAGTTTGGAGGCCACTCTCTCATGAGAAGTACATACACTCAGTTGCTCACAATCGTGGCCCGTCTAACTTTAAGCCCCTGCTCCTCTGTCTTTCAGTCCATTGGTTCTGGCCTACATTATGTCAGGAGACATGCCTGGAGATCACAGAAGTCAAATAAACAAAGGCTGGCTCTGTTAGCCTGCTGCATTGTCCACTTTTGTATTTACTGGGGGACATGGATTTTGGTTAAATGTGGTTAGCAAGAACAGATGGCATTTCCATCCCCTTCCAGCCTAGACCTGACCCTCCCCAATTACCTACAGTACTATCACCTTACCAAGTAAGAGATACAGAAGGTACTGAGGACAAAAGTCCACTGCAGAGCTGTCATCCAGCTAAGTCAGACAAGCAGATCGGCCCATGGGCCTCTCAGCCATGCACCCTCCACAGGGAACCCAAGAGCTCCAGAAAACAACCAATGAGCCCAGCAAGCTGGATCCTAAGGTATCCTCTTATATCTCCCCAGGATCTCCTCACTGCCCAGTGGAAAGCCATCACCATAAGAATGAGCAGCACAATGCACAGGGCTGGGGAAAACATCTGCAGACAGATTCTGTTTACCTCCCAGAGAGCCTGAGTCAGACAGCAGGTAAAAGACAGCCCCTTCCATGTGCTCTGAAGTGACAACCAAGCAAGCAACTGTTGAATGGGCAGTGACATGTGTGTCCAAGCATCTGAGGTGACCACTTGAGGTTAAACAGCCTTCTCCCAAATTGGGGTACACTGACATGTCAAATAAATGTGATAATATATACAAACAATTCATAGAGAGCCTAGCAAAGTCTCAGTGCTTGTTCATATGCCATTGGGACTTTGTTCTTTTGTTCCCCACCCCAATTTGGGATAGCAGCTGTTACTGCAGTAATAAATGGTGAGAGGGGGTGAAGGGCTGTGTGAATGTCCTCACAGCTCTGCTTAGAATTCTCACAGTCCCAGCTGCAGGGGATCAGCCTCCCCATTTCACAAGGGAGGGCACTGCCACCCAGAGAGGGGAAGGAATTTCCCTGGACGTCCCACAGCACTTTGGCAACAATACAGATCAGAAATCAAGTGCCATTCGTGCTTCACCTCATCATACTGCTCTCCCTGGGCTGTCCTCCCAAGTCTACCATGTCTGCCTCCCAGGTCTACCATGCTCAAGAAAGGAAAGATCAAAGCCCTTGATTTTAGAGCACTGCCAGTATTCTAAATAGTTCCATGTGAACAACTCCTGGGCCAGTGCTGAGTGTGGATTTTGGCATCTGATCCTCATGGGACAAGTCAGCAGTTCTGCCCCCACCAAACCCTTCTATAGGCACAGCTCCATCATGACATTCAACAGTGAGTCAGTGCCAGCTGAGTTAGGATTTCTAGTAGCTTTGCTTCTCATCATGATTCAGCCAATTCTTACAAGGTCTCAGAGTATCTCAAATTATTTCAATCATGTTAGAGAATTTTCAAAACCAAATTAATTTGAAGTCACTTAAATATGAAAATATACAAGCCCCATTTTTACCTTAGTTGGAACTCGGGATCAGGGGTGACTACCACTCCATTCTCCCACTTCCATCTCTAATGCCCTGCAATTCTAGAGTTAAGCTAATTGAGCCATACATAAGCAATTTATTTAAGCAATTTATTTAAGCATTTCTTGGAGAGATTAGAAATGCAGCCCAGAGTCACAGAGACTTAGAACTAGGAAGGTCCCTAGAGACGCTCTCATCTTGACCTCTGCTCTATAGATGTGGAACCAAACACCCAGAAGATGAAGGGAATCATCCAAAGTCATGTGCAATGCAGGTCAACACAGACTCCAATGCACCAACCACTCCTACCCCTGCCTACCCAAAGACGTAACTCCCACACAGAGTTTTGTTCTTAATCCAAAGAGCATTTCAAGTACTTTCAAACCAAGCCTGAGAAAAGACCCATCTGGAGCCATTAATTTGTCATTAAGAAGAGTCAAGGCAAAATCTAACCTAAACCACTAGTTGGCCAGAAGCAGTAAACAGAATACTGTGAATAAATATTTATCAAAAATATCACAGTTATGGGTGCTATTTTCAGAAGCCAGTCTGGGTGAGAAGTTGGGAGTTATAAACAAACACAGTCCTTTAGTAGTTCAATAATATCAGCAGTCCTTATTTTTATGATAAGCAGGATTTTGAGGGACAGTGTGGGCTTTGCTAAGGTGATGTGGACTAGAAAGGATCGTCATGCTTTGGAGTTGGGGGAGAGAGAGAAGTAAGGCGTGAAAGATGGGAAAGAAAAGAAGCAAAGAAAAGCAAAGGCACAGCAGGGAGTGGGTGGGTGAGGAACAAAATGATTCATATATATGCATTTAAAATACAGCATTCAGACAAGATGAGACTCTGGGGTGCAGAAGGACATTACAGCCAGAGAGCAGCCACGGGGTCTCAGGAAGGGGAAGCCCCAGCAAACCAGGCAAGTGAGGGAGATGGGTCAGAGGAGCAGGGATGCTGGCAAAGACTGACCCACCTCATCTGGGTGTGAAACATGGATTTCACTGCCTCATGACTGAAAGACAAAACAGACACCCAAATGGAAATCATTACCATAGGCTCATCAGTACAGCTAAGAGGGTGCACAGCATTCCAGCTGATGCAATCAAAGCTTTGGCCATCCAACCACCTTTTTATCCCAGCCCCTTCCAGTGGGGCTTACTTGACAAGACAGGCTGGTATAGTGGAAAGTGCCCTGGATTTGGAATGAGAAGTTCTGGGTTCAAAGGTCCTCTCAGCCTTTCCTGGGCTCAGTGTCCTCAACCTGTACCTGGTAATGGGACTGCCATGAGACAGTGCATTTAAAAGTAGGTGCTAAAAAAAGCAATGGAATGCTATTGTTATACCATTAACAAGCACCTTGGCCAAACAAGTGTTGCCTCTTTGATGTCTATCTTGGGGACTATGTGAACTGCGTATGGAGACTGATTAAGTCACACGGATAGTATAAAAAATGTATTGGGGTTAGAATTGGGTTCTTTCCACTATGGCAGGCAGCTAGGCCATGACTGCAAAGTCACCTTCTCTTGCACAACAGCCAAGAAGCCAGGTAAAATGTGGCTGCTCAAAATTAGTGGATGCAAATAAGCCAGAGCAGACGCCAGAAATGATCTGAAGAAAGAGCTCCTAGGTTCCTGTGGCTGTCACACGTACCAACAAGGGGAGCCCTGGGTCACCACTGCTTGGAGGAATGGCATCTTGAAAGACCAGCCCGATATGTGGCTGAATTTGATCCTCAGTCATGCCAGTGACCCCAAGAGGGTTAGGAAGAGAAATGCAAATATTGGGGGGAAATGATCATCTTGGTCCCAAATAAACTTCTCTGTCTTCAGTGACTTTCTTACCTGCTTGAGTGTCTGGTGTCATACAGTCCCTTGCTTCCAGAAACAGGAAGGAAAAGGAGATTCAGAGTCCCTTCTAGATTGGGGTTTAGGCTTGATTCCTGACTGAGAACCAGAAACCATGGTCTCTGGTTTCCAGCAAGTTTTTTGGGGAAACCTGCTCATTGTTCATGGCTTGGAATTAACTTGCATCTGTCATAAAAGCTTGTCTCATCTCTAAGAGCAAAATAAGTAATATTGCTTAGGCATCGTTCCCCCAATCTCCCCAGCCCTGAGCCATGGAAAAGGAGGGTCTCTTCCTGTTTGCTGACTTCTCCACTTGTGCCCACCCCCAAGACACATGCTTTGCCCTTCTGTCCCCTGATCTGTGCCTTTGGAGTAGGGGGTGGGGGTGGGGTTTGGCCCCTAAGGGGCTTCATCACCCTGGGTCATTTGTTGTCTGGCTTCTGGTTGGAATTTGGCCAATGGGAGGAAATCAGAAGGTTGGAGGAGAGAGAGTTTGGGGTATTTCATCTCCTGGCTCCCTCTCATCCTCGCAATGGTTCCAGCAGGGGCTGCTTTTGCTACTAGTACAGCCAAGCTATTGGATGGGGAGTAGAGAGAGGAACCTCTCCCATGGCTGTACTCTCACCAGCTGCAGAAATAGTACAGTACACCTGCCCGTCTAAGTCTAGAGGTCATAATGGTTATATACTATTGCTAGACTCTCGACACCTCACCATTCTTTGTTAGTTTCTTAAACTTTACCCTTATTTCTGTAGATTGTCCTGTTATTAAATTCTCTTTGAGTAAACTTTTAGTGTGCCTTCTGATTTCTGCTGGAATCTTCACTAATATATGCTCCTGCCAAGCACCTTCTCAGCTGGTGCTGTTCAGTGGTGACCTTTAGATAGATAATCTCAGGCTTCGAGCTTTAAAATAGTAGTCAGAGTTTTACCTAACACATCTAGGCAGCCTCAAGAAATATGCAAAGATTCAGAAATTACCCATGTGTAATTCTTTGCTATTTTCTTCGTTACCTTTCTCCTATCCACAATGACTCTAGAATGAAACTTCCCTGTCAAAATTCATGCTAGTTCATTCCATAATTTGGTTTAGGCCAAGTGGAGAAAATGCCATAAAGTCTCTCCATCCCCATCACACCATCCCTAGTTAAAGACATACTCACTTGCCATTGTTGAATATGACAGTGCAGTTGGGCCAACAGTCGTGGTTCACCAAGCCCAGGTTGGGGAAGATGCCCACACCCACTGCCTGTAGGCCTCTCTGGTCACTGAGTGTGAAGCCATTGCAGCTAATCTACCCAGAGAAAAAGATGAAAGAGCAAGTTGACACACATAGGTCAGGGACAGAACACCACCCTGGCTGCTGAAAGTTCAAGAAAATATAAGAGTTAATCTCATCCTGGAGATGCTTAGAGAGTCTGCAACAAAACAGTTCATCTCCTGTTCTCTAAGTCACTCCAAAGGACCCTCAAGATGAGCACCATACTTGTTAAAATGCAAAGCCACCTCGGAAGTTTTGGGTAGCTGTATTCTACAAAGGCCAAAGACAGAAATGTTGGTTCTGAGGAGTCTCCCCCTTTTCTTGTGTCTGGGTCTCACATGAATTTTCCCCAGTTTCTACCTTGGTTTCTCTCTGTGCCCTGCTCTGTTTTACTCTGTGTGTGTAGAGCCGGTGGGTTATATGGCCTGAGCTTGCTGATCCATAGGCATCTACCCCCACCTCTTGGACTCATGGCTACAAGAGGTCCAGGTTTGCTGCTCCAGGGCAGCAGTCTCCAAAAGTCCTTCCTCTCTTTCGCTAATGTCCATAGCCCATGACTCCAGGCTCTCCATTATCTTGCCCGCCATATCTGAGAAAAGGAATGGTCTCATTTCCAAAGTGACTGGTGAGCAATAAGAGATGGTGACTGGGTCTTCATTTTCAATATGAGCAGGAGAAAAAGTAGAAAATGTCGATAAACAGGAAGGTAAATTTCCATCCAAATCTACCGCTTGGAGATAACAAATAGTTTGTGTGTGGGGATGCCAGCTTCCAATAGGGTAGGAATGACTTTCTAGTAAGCAAGGCCAGAAAGACAGAAAAAGTATGAAAGTTCTTTACTTTCCCCTGTCCTCTCTAGCCCTTCTCTCAGCCTCCCCTCCCCATCCACCTGGCAGCCTCTGAATACTTCTTGGTTGACCAATCCTGTCCCTGCCACATTATGAGGAATCATACCACGCCAAAGATGTGCGAGATGTACTGCATGCTGAACTGCTGGCCCTGGGGTGGCCAGTACTGCAAGAAAGTGTCCACGTCCAACCGTAGCTCCTTTTGTTCCTCCTCCCCAAAGTGCTCCACGTGGTTCTGCAGGTCATCCACAGCGACCAGGCAGCCCTCTGTGAGCCCGGTGCCCTCTCTCTCCACCCGCCACATGATGCGGGCCGCCAGCCTGTGGAGAGGGGCAGGGTTAGGGAGGTTTCAGTGCATCCATTCATTGGCAAACACTTGCTGAGGACTTACAGCATGCCAGGCTGAACTATATAGATGGAACTAGATAGATGGAATCTCTTTTATCATGGAAGCTTTTTATAGTGGGAGAGACCCAAGTTAAAAAGGTAATAATTAAAACCGAGTGTTAAGTGCTATGCAGAGAGTAAAATAGGGTCACATGAGAGAGACTGGCTGGGGGAAGGGAAGCCAAGGTGATCAGGGGAGGTAACACGAAGAAGGAGCACTCAAGCTGAAAATGGAATGAACAGAAGGAGCTGGTTCTGTGCACATAGGGAAGGAGCAGTGAGTACAGAGACCCTGAAGAATGATGGAGAAACAGCAAGGAGACCAAAGTGGCTGCAGCACAGGGAGTGAGGAGTGGAGAGCAAATATAGGTGGAGAGGTGGGCAGGAATCAAGTCACATGGGGTCTATGAGACCATGAAAGGGGTCTGGGGACACTGAGGTGTGACAGCCTGGGTCTTTCCTGATAGTATGGCTCACTGAGATGGGCACTGGTGAAGGAGTCTAACGCCTGGGTTTAAGTCCATTTACAGTTACTGCGTGACCCCGGGCAATTCATTTGAAACTCCCTGAACTTATCCCCAGGAGGGATAATGCATATCCTGTGACATGGTATGTCATGGATGTCAACATCTGTGTGAACTTAATTATAGTCTCAGTGATTAAAGAGAGGTAGGAAAGATGATCTAGGTGGGGAAACAGTGTAAACCAAGGCTTGGAGGCAGCCAGAGGCTAAGCAGATGCAGGAAACAGGGAGGGGCTGGCCTGGCTGGTGTGGAGGGCTCTGGAGGAGGAGTGGATGCAAGGTGGGACAGGAAGGAGCCCTGGAGAGCACAGGGCATTGAGTGTGAGACAGGGCTGCACTTCACCTTGAGGATAGTGAGGGTCCCCTTTTTAACTGTTAGGCAGCCCGTGCCCACAAGATGAAGCCTCTGACTGAGGGACATTTTGGCAACTCTCAGCTACTCGCTGAATTCATGCTGGCCAGGCACCTGCGAGGGGCTGGTGACCCAAGGCAGATCCAGTCCCCAAGGGGCTCCCTTGGCAAAGAACAGGGCCGCTTCTGCTCCCATTTGGATCACAGAGTTATTTCTGGAAAGACGCCCTGCTGGGGATCCCAGGTGCTTAGGAACCCAGGTATCCCCACAGGACAGCACTGGAGAAAATAAGGCTCAGGTAGGGTGTCTGTTACCTGTAAATATTAGGGAAATGGTCCCAAAGCTCAGAGAGTAAAGAAAAATGGGTAACAGATTTCAACTCAGTATCAGGAGAAACTACCAACTGGGATTATGCAGATAAAGTGAGTGAGCTCCCCATCACAGAAGGTAACATTTACTTCGGGCTTTAGAAACTAAGTAGGATAATGAAGAGATATCTGCACTCCATGTTTACTCCAGCATGATTCAGAAGAGGTAAGATATGGAAACAACCTAAGTGTCCATGAATGGATGAAAGGATAAAGACGATGTAGTAAAAAACATGATGGAATATTATTCAGCCATGAGAAAGAAGAAAATCCTGCCACTTAAGACAGCATGGATGGACCTTACTAGGGCATTATACAAGCAAAACAAACCAGACACAGACAAAAACTGCATAGTGTCAGCTATATATGGTATCTTGAAAGAAAGATGAAAGAAAGAAAAAGAAGAAAGAAAGAAAGAAAGAAAGAAAGAAAGAAAGAAAAAAGAAAGAAAGAGAGAAAGAAGGAAGGAAGGGAAAGAAAGAAAGAGAAAAGAAAAGAAAGAAAGAAAAGAAAAGAAAAGAAAAGAAAAGAAAAGAAAAGAAAAGAAAAGAAAAGAAAAGAAAGAAAAGAAAAGAAAGAGGTTAAATTTATAGAAACAGAGAAAAGTGGCTGCCAGGGTCTGGGGAGTGTAGGAAACAGGGAGAGCCTAGTAAAAGCACAAACTTGCAGCTGTAAGATGAATAAGGTCTGAGGATCTAAGGTAAAACATGGTGACTGTAGCTGGTAACACTGTATTGTATAATTAAAATCTTCCAAGAGAGTAACACATAAATGTTCTCACTTGAAAAGAAACGGATAAGTATGTCAGGGGATAGATGTGATAATTAACTAGATAGGGGATGTCCTTTCACGATGTACACATATATCAAGTCACCATGATGTACTGTTTAAATATCTTACAATCTGGGACGCCTGGGTGGCTCAGTGGTTGAGCGTCTGCCTTTGGCTTAGGATGTGATCCTGGAATCCTGGGATCAAGTCCTGCGTTGGGCTCCTGCATGAGCCTGCTTCTCCCTCTGCCTGTGTCTCTGTCTCTCTCTCTCCCTCTCTCTCTGTCTATGTCTTTCATTAATGAATAAATACAATCTTTTAAAAAAATAAATAAATATCTTATGATCTTATATGTCAATTATACCTTGATAAAGCTGAATGTTTTAAAAATTAAAATAAAGTAAAATTACAAAAGAACTTTTTAAAAAGAAGCAGTTGTTCAACAGATGGAACTAAGGAGGATGGGGAGGCTGGCAGAGCCATTTCACTTTGTGGTTTCTTAAAAATTAGTAAGATATGATGATTCCATTCTGTCTTTAACTTCGCACCATACACACCCAGTGAAAATGCTCCCAATTTCACCTTTCTCATCTCCTCTGCTCTTCACTGTTACTTCCTAAGCACAGACCTGTGGCCCTACCTGGTTGTGTCAGCACAGATTTCTGGCCATGGCCACCTAGCAACACCACTAACTATTGCAAATGCCTTTCTCATATAATGAGTACAGAGGGTGGTGTACAGCACCCAGGGACTAGTAGGATATGGTGACTTGAAAAGCTCTGCCTTTTTTCTTGCTCTTTTTTCCCCCTTTGCTCCTTTGTTTTGTTTCTTAAATTCCACATATAAGTGAAATCATATTGTATTTATGTTTCTTTAACTTATTTCATTTAGGATAGTATACTATAGGTCTGTCCATGTCATTGCAAACAAGATTTCATTGTTTTCCATGGCTGTGTAATATTCCTTCATATATATTTATATATATATATATTTATATATATATTCCTTCATATATATATATATATATATATATATATATATATATACCACATCTTCCTTGTCCACTGATCAGTCGATGGACACCTGGGCTGCTGCCATAATTTGATGATTGCAGATACACTGCTATGTAACCATAGAGAACACACTGATGGCTACCAGAGGGGAGTGGAAAAAATAGGTGATGGAGATTGAGGAGGGCATTTGTGATGAGCACCAGGTGATGGATGGAATTGCTGAATCACTATATTGTACCCTTGAAACTAATATTACACTGTATGTTAACTAACTGTAATTTAAATAAAACCTTTTTTAAAAAAACTGTAGTTTTTAAAGGTAGCTGCTGCTATTGAGCTCTATCTCATTTTGCCAAATCTTCAGATTTTTTTTCAAGAGAAACCAGAAATCCTAATTTTTTAAATGTGGAATTTCCCAATTTTCTAAACATTGACAAAACAAATTTTTTAAAAAAATTTAAACACTAGGGAACCATTGAGAACAGGTCTGTAGCCAGCTCCAGACAGTGGCTATGGACTGGAATGGCTGCTGTAGACACCCAGTTCTAGATGAGCTCCCAGATACAGAAGTGTCCCTCTCCAGTCTCTTTGAGACTCTATCCTGATCTGTGCTCAGCCTAGTTTCCTTGGACCTGGAAATGCTTGTCACTAAGGCCTTCCCCGACTGATTTGGGAATTCTAAGGACCACCCCCGGGGCCCCGCTCTGACCTGATATTCTCATTGGGCACCTTCCCATATCTCTTGATGGCCGAACACTCATTCTTGTGGTTCAGCCAAGCATCCTTCTGGCAGGTGCGGTCACAATAGTGGGCAAACTTGCACTGTCCACAGTGATGGAGCTTCTCCTGCCTCTTGAAGCAGGTATGGCACACAAAGTTAACAAGGCTGGAAATGGAAGGAGAAACAAATGATTGGGGTGGCACAGCAATAAAGGACCACACTAGATATTGGGTCCCCACGTGGGGGACACTATTCCACCCTTCATATAAGCCTTCCAATTTAACTCAGTAAGTATAGATTTATGACCCCTACGCAGTAGGCACTGAGAATACCTAAGCCACCAGAGGAGCGAGTGAACCTACATGAGGACGCTATGAGAGCAGACCCATGGGGTGTTCCTGGAACACACTGGAACAGACACTTGAGGAGCACAGGAAGTCTTCCAGGCCAAGGGACTGGGTGGAAATTCTTCATGGTCCCCTTGCCAAAAGCCACAGGTCATTGGCTCCATGGCATGGGAGGGAGTACTCTGTGTCACATGACTTTCTCATTCTTGAAATGTCATGTCCCTTTCCCCAAAGAATAAAACTCATAACTATCTACAGTATGATAGAACATGAAACATGATACAGTTTACACAAAATGGGGTCTGCTGCATTGTGATTCATGTCACAGTTCTGTGTGTTTTTGCAAGAGTAATAATACGAGATCACTGATGTAAGTGAGGTTATCCACTGTATTCTCCTGGCTCAGGGAGCAAGGGGCAAACACAGATCATGCCTGCCCACTCAATGGGAGATGGAGAGAGGCGTACAAAGATGAGTTTCCTTACCCCATGCTTCCAGCCCTCAGTGTTCTCAAGAGAGAGCTGTGTCTCCCAGCTTAGAGCCGGCTTTCAGGCAGAAGAGGGCATAGGTTAGCATGAAGGAAACATACTTCAAGACATAACCTGACACCCAGAGTGAGTGAAATGTTGGTATGATGCACAATATATCAATATCTCTGCAGTGTGGGAAAAAGAAATCCTGGCCACTGGAGCAAAGAAATGATGAAAACAAGCTCAGGAGTGTGCACAGAAGCACTGAGCTCCCTGGGGAAAAATGGGGTATGTAAACTCATGCTGGAGTTTACAGTCTAAGGAGGGATCTCAAAAGAAGAAAACGGGATGCCTGAGTGGTTCAGCAGTTGAGTGTCTGCCTTTGGCTCAAGGAGTGATCCCAGGATCCAGGATCGAGTCCTGCATCAGGCTCCCTGCAGAGTGCCTCTTCTCCCTCTGCCTATGTCTCTGCCTCTCTCTCTCTGTCTCTCATGAATAAATAAATAAAATCTTCTTAAAAAAAGTATAGGAAAACAGGGGCTTTTAAAATCACATAATTCTAGAGCCTGAAGAAAGGACTTTCAATAAAACATACAAGTAAGGAAATCCCTGTGTCCATCGCTGACCATGCCTTTTAAAATTCCCATAGTGAAGAAGAGTGCACTGCTTCCAAGAACAGTTAGTCCACTGTTGGCCAGTCCTAATTGTGGCAGATTTCCTCCTTGTGATAGGCTCGAATGTGTCTTCCCGAGAAGCATACTCCTGTCATCTAATTTGGCTCTCTGGATGCTTGTCCTGTGGAATGTGTCTGGGCAGGTCAGTGCTTCAAGAATTTGAAGACTGTGACTCCCTTTCACTTCTCCTCTCTACATCAAACACTCCCAGTCTCTTCAATAGTCTCATTCTGGTCTCCGATGTATCCACAGAGGGTCCCTACAGCCGAAGGAAGGTGGGTACATCAGGACAATCAAGCAAGATCCAGCAACCAATGCTAGGGCATCAGGCTCAAGAATCAGCCCAAAAGCCAGGCCCTGTAGTCCCAGGACAGCATCAAGAAATGGAGAGACAGAGAGCCAAACTGAGGTCACTACACAGGCTATTGCTGCAAGCTAGGTCCTGGGCTTCCTGAAGTCCAGTGTTCAGTCTCTGGGTGGCTACCTTAACAAACTGCTGTGTCCTCATCTACTGTGAGGCACCTTGCTAATAATTTGTTATTAATCATGAAGTGCTCATAGGCATGGAAAGTTAGTAGTTATTTGTAAGTTCAGAGCAAGTTCAAGATTATCCCCATACTAATGTCTCCTCACTCCCATGCCATCCCTTAAGCTTTCCCAAAGATAGAGGAAGAGTAGACTTACACTAGCATATTTAGAATTGCAGATTCTGCAGCCCATCATAGCTTTGCCACAGAGGGTATTCCCTGCTTGTGAAGGTCATTTGCCATGAGCGCTCCAGTAGAACAGAACATACTGGCAGGGACCCTGACCATTTAGTGGAATCTCCAAACCCCTAGAGATGGGGAACTATGAATTTCTCACATCCACCTCAAGTCAAGATGGCATTCTCTGGCAGGAATGTGAAAATCATCAGCACAGACTGAACTGCTGAAGAGCTCAAGTAATCTGGATCCCCATGAGGCTCCAAATTCTGTCTCCTGGCCTCTCGAGGGTAGATGAGGGTTCATAGTGCTTTATAATTATGGTGCCCAGAGCAGAATATGGTATCCAGGTGTGGTACTATTCACACTTTTTGGATCTGGACTTGTGAATCCCATTTATAAATAAATGGAATTCAAAAATTCACAGTTAAGATCAGGTTACAAATCTAGTCATTAGAACCTCCCAAGTTTTCTTAAAGGTGCTGTAGCCAAGTCAGAGCTTCCCTCCATGTGTCCATATGATGCTGTGTTTTTAAAATACCTTTGAGGTATAACTGACATACATATCTAAAATCTTTAACTTGATAGACACTGACATATACACATACCTGTGAAACCATCACCATGACCAAGACAGTGAGCCTAAAATTTCTGCGTGACATTGAATTTTTTTTAACCTGAAGTGGGTCTTCCCCTTTATCCCTAGCTGATAGTATTCCAAATGGTCCAGATCATTTTGAACTTTCATTCTGTCATCACTTACATCGGTATGCTGAGGCTTGAGTCATTTGCAAGGCTGAGACCAAGTCTTAGGTTCAGAAGGGGAAGGAGGAGCAGATGCCCACCTCTAGGGTATCAAGACCCGGACCAGGAATACAAACCCAAGGCAGGAAAGAAAGGGAAATGGTCTAGAGAGAAGAGAGTTAGAAACAAACACAATCAGGGCAACCCTGGTGGCTCAGCGGTTTAGCGCCGCCTTTAGCCCGGGGTATGATCCTAGAGACCCAGGATTGAGTTCCATGTCGGGCTCCCTGCATGGAGCCTGCTTCTTCCTCTGTCTGTGTCCCTGCCTCTTTCTCTCTCTGTGTCTGTCATAAATAAATAAAATCTTAAAAAAAAAAAAGAAACAAACACGATCATGCTGGCTGTCACTTGTGACTTGTCCCTTAGAGCTCTATGCCTACCTGCTCTAGGGGTGCCCATTAGGGAACCACTCCCCATCGGGACTGCTCTACCATTTTACACCCAAACTAGTAATTTTTAGAATATTCAAACATAATATCCTCATATTTTTATTTGTACACATATATTCACATTCATAGACATATCATGGGGAAACTGGAATTTGTACCTACCAAATATTACATTTTGCTGTTCTCACACTGTATTTCACATTTTAAACAGAACCACAAATTCCAGGTGGTCACCTAGAATAACAGAAGTTTTGCTGCTTTATCTTTATGCGCTCTGCTTATTTCTAATATATTTAAGCTTCAGGAAGAGATAGTGGCACAGGGGCTGAAGACATGAACCACGGCCTGTGCAAGTTCAAGTATTTAAGAATCTTAATAATTTGCTCTTGCAACAAACAGGCAGTGGAGGGCACAGGTGTTAGGGGCTAACCATGCAACTGCAACTGAGAGTCCTCTGGATTAACTTCAAGGCAGAATATAATGTTTATTAAGGGATATGTGATTTTAAAATGTGCTAATTTGAAGTTTATGCAACAGCAATTGTTTTGAACTGAGACTAATGTAGATTTTTTTTCCCCAAGGAAGAGCATTTTATCCCTGACATTGTATAGAATTGCTGGTGTATGATGATAATAAAAACCAAATCTTTTAGTCAGGTTTTTTAAAATTAGTTTTATTGTTGTTTTTAAATTCTGGGAAGACAACACCCCCTTACTGTCTGCCCCAGGGATGGACCTCTGGCATTGTCCTCTCCTTGGTCCATACTGCCTATGAAGCTCAAATTTTCTTAGCCTGGCTCAAAGGGAGACAATACATCTATCCTGGAGCCTACCTCGAGGATCCCATGAACTGACTTAATACACTTCTAATGGGGCCTGATTATAGAATAATCTATGTGCTATGAACTATAGCTATAATATGTCCACAAAAAATTCTAGTGGGAAGGCCCTCATATGAGTCTTCCAAGTTACTAACAACCACTTTGGCCAGAAGAAGATTGGAGATAGAGCTCCTCTGCTGCAGTGTAAAGGCTTCACCCCAGGTTGGGTGATGGAGAGACCTCTGCAATCACTATACAATCAATTTTCAGTCCTTTAATCAATTCTGCTATCATATCAGTTCAGCAACGTCTCATGAGAGTCTTTGCACTTTGCTCTAATGAATTTTTAATTGCTTTTCATAAAAAGAAAATGTGATTAATTTGGCATGATTTTTTTTCTTATAGGAACCCATAGTGAGTTCCAGACACCAGACACTAAACCATACAAACTATTTTCTACAGGCTCAGACACTTGTTTTATAATCCAATCTACAATTTTGCTAGGGCCTAGATTCAAGTTTTAAATCCTGGTGAAAAGCATTGTGAGTTATCTCCTAATTTAGATCTCCTTGGGATGAAGCTGCCCTTTCTCTCCATCACCTCACCTGATAATAAGGCTTAGCCATGAGGCTGGAACTGAGAAGGAAGGAGTGTGTGTTTGAAGCAGACCTGGGCTTCTCGAATCTCAATGTACATACACATCACCAGAGACCTTGTTAAAACTCAGGTTCCAATTCAGTAGGTCTGGAGTGGGGCCTGAGATTCTGCATTCCTAACAAGTTCCTGGGTGATACTAAGCTGTAACTTTGAGCAACAAGAATGTAGAAATGAGAGCAAACCTGCTCCTTCTAGTGGGATATGCATGAAAAAGTGTCAGGTAGGCAGGAAGGGGAAGTTTAATTAAAAAAAAAATCCTGTCCCTTTGCTCTCCACCTCCCTTATTGGTGACAGGACAAG